TACAATAAACAAATGTATTATCTCAATTGATCTTGATATTTTAGACTGACCGGAGGCCGTATTTCTACACTTGGCATTGCTGGCCGTTGATCAATAATAACTCTGACGGAACATTTAAGAGAAAGTCAGGGTAAGACTAGATATGAGTTCAATAAATATATTATTGCCAACTCATAATTTTCATTTACCTCGTATAAACGAGTTACAAAGATGAATAGAAGGTGCGACGGGTTTACAACCATAGACCTGACACAAGGGTATCATCGAATGCAAATTTATGAGCCCCATCGTAAATACTTTAGTTATACGTGGAAGGCTAAGCAATACCGATGTAAAGGAGCACCGTTCGGGTTACATTCCTTACCAGCATTCTTTCAACAAGTAATGGAAGGGATGTTTGCAGACATGCCTAACGTGCAAGTCTACACAGATGACATAGTCATCTTTTCAAAGACCAAGGGCGAACATGCCGCATTAGTCAGAAGAGTCCTTTAGAGACTTAACGAACAAAAATTCAAGATTAACGAGAAAAAAAAAAGGTCATTTTGCGATGAGTGAGATGCAGCTTTAAGTCTATTGTATCTATGGGGAAGGTCTTAAAATCGACCCCGGAGGCTTGATCCAAATAAAGATCAGTCAGATGATATTATGTTAAAGGTTTCCCAAACCTCCGGAAGGTGGAGCAACGAATTTGATCCCGCACTTTATCGACATAATTATAGACATACTAATATACAAAACAGGAAAATTGCAATATCTGACTGATGTATGTTTAAGTTCTCTAACGGGTACGTTAAACTGTATTGACTTAACAAATATCGACTTCTCGAATTCAAAGAGAACCGCTGATTCATAGAGTTATCATCATCAGCGTCGACGTTGTCTTCATCCTCTGCGTCACTTATTTCGAGATCTGATTCTAGGAGATCGTCACGGTCGCAGAGGGAAGAGCCGTCGTTGACTATCGTATCCAAGCATAGTGCTGAACTACGTGTGAGCAACAACAGCGTGATGATATAACTGTGAATATAGTAAATACGTAATATGTTATGGTGTGATAATGTACGTATTTATCAATAGTACTATATTGACACAAACTTTACTTGGTATTAATGACAGCATGAAGCCCCCCCAAAGGCCCTCCTTTTCCTTCCTTTTCCCTGTTCAAATTAATCAAAAGTCACTCGCTTCGCTGACCTCTGGCATAATAATAGAATCATGCAAAAGACCAAAACCAAAAAAATAGCTAAGCCAAAAACCTCCGCGTAATTTGAGATTCGCCATTGGATGGATTGTACAAATATGTAAATAGATATGTAATTTTACTCTTTGAAAATTAATAAACACAAAAAGTTATGAATCAATCATATTTTAATCATCATAGCATTCTGATTGAACATTGAAATCAGTAAAAAAAATATGTAGTCATCTGTTTTTTCCTTGAAAGAACAAAGAACAAAAAAATGGCCACAATTGAGATTAGTCATGTCTTAGATGGTCATGACAAATTGAAGCATTTCAGGGCGCAATTGAAACCCCATTGACCCACTCCACATTCGTCAGGGCACACAATACTCTTCAGATTCTGTGGCGGATCCTGACCGTCAGTCGTACACTTTCTGAAGAAACACAGAGTGGAGTCCGAATATAGTACAGAAACGGGGCGACCAAAAAAAAGGGGTACACGTGCCTGACTTTTTGCTGCGAATTTGGGTCCTGCGGCCCGCGCAAGGTGGAATTCGCGAGTAGAGCGATATTTTATTATAAAGCAGTGTGCGTATTTATTGCGTGACATACGCATATGTATGGAGAGAGATGATGAAGCGTCCAAGCAAAGAGACGAAAAAAGAGAAGGGTAACGGTAAATACAAAGATAGAGATAAAGAAAAGGAAAGCTTGGAAGATATTAATGAATTTAGAGTAAACGATGGAGCTGATGGTAAAGAAAAGCAAGAAGGCGAGGTTCGTGGCGCTGGATCGACAGAGCAACGTAGACATAGCAATAATATAAGCCCTGAGAACGAGAAGGAAAACAGCAAAGAGAAACGTGTCAAGAAGCAGAGCAGTGGGTTCAGTTTCGTATCGGGACTCCTGACCAAGGGAGGAAGCAAAGGGTCGACACAAAGCATGCGAGTGCAGAGTCGGAGTGGTACAAGTGGCAACAGCAGTGGTCATGACAAGAACCGGAGTGATACTAGCTTGACCGAGCATGTAAACAGTGTGCACAGAGTATATACCTTGCCAGTGATTAGCAAGTCGGCAGGTGAAGAAAGAGATCGCGGTAGGTCTAGCCAACATGGCCTTCATACTAGCTCATACAGGAACAGCAGAGGAGAAAATGCGTCCCATATGCAATCCATATCGGTACCTACGTCCAGGGCCAATAAGGGCAGAAGTAGCTCTGGGGTTAGTGCGACGAGCTCACAGTCAAGTGTGAACTCACAAACGGGACAATACAGATCCACGACAGGCAGACAGCCCAGGGTATTGAACGACAAGCATACACAATCATCACCGCAAACGTACAACAAACGGGGTAGCAATCCGAACTTCTCCAAGAGCATTAGCAATAGACATACAGGGGGTAGTGTGTCCGTTATAAGCAAAAAGCCAGTAAAGCCTGTAAAGTTTATGACCTCGCCGAAGATAAATGGTTGCGGAAGGTATCTCATCAGCGACCATCTTCTAGGCCACGGAGAATATTCGAAGGTCTACAAAGCCCAGCACGTCATAACAGGCGAAACGGTGGCCTGCAATATTATTGATATGACTCAGAGTATGTGGGGATGGATGAAATGGAGTGTGAAAGTTGCATACTATTTTATTCACTTTGCGTATATATATGGTCTATATCCACAAAGAGCAATTTGTTGTTATCTATGGACGCATAATTTGCCGACGTATTATCTGATACCGATACACTATACTTTCAATTTTGCACACAGTAGTATCCTGTTCGATGATCACGGCTACACAGACACAGACACAGAGACACAAACACATACATACCCTGTTGATGAATATAAGCATGTAATTCGTCCTGTAGAGAACACCACAGTTATTGAATATGAGTTGTGTATATCATATATTGAATAAATTTTAGATCTGAATTTCACAATACCTATATATATATATATATATATATATATATATATATATATACACACACACACACAACATATATA